TTTTTTTCTTTTTTGAGACAGGGTTTCTCTGGGTATCTTTGGAGACTATCCTGGAACACGCTCTGGAGACCAGGCTGGCCTCGAACTCACAGAGATCCGCCTGCCTCTGCCTCCCGAGTGCTGGGATTAAAGGCGCATGCCACCAATGCCCGGCTCAAATACTTTTTAAAAAATGTAATTTAATTTTGAGTTTTCTCAGCCACAGGGATATTCCCTTGGGGGGCAGACCCCCAGAGGGGTGCCCTGGAACATGCGTTCCCCACTTCCCTATCCCAGCAGTGGGACCTGAGTGAATAGCAGTCTTGAACTCGTACCTGACCCACGAAGTAAAATTGGATGTGAGCCAAGGTGCCAAGTGCCACAGTCCAATGGGTCAGGTTCCACACAAAAGACAAACTCTAAGAGAAAAACTCAAAAGAACATCAGCATTGAACTTCCCAGGAGCGAGGTTCCATTCTGAGCCCAGGGGCTTTGCAGTTATCAAAGGTCCCTGGAGCCTGGGAATGAGGTCCAAAACTGGAGAGACCAAAAAAAGAATTGAGTCATGATGAAAGATGTGGACAGACCAGTTTGAGTCAGGCATGGTGGCACAGGCCTGTGATACCAGCACTCAGAAGGCTGAAACAGTATGGAAATCAGAGACGGTGGAGGCAAGATCAGGAAGTCAGAGCTTTGGCTACATATTGAGTTCAAGGCTAACCTGGGATGCATGAGACCATATTTCAAAAGAACAGCAAGAGGGGCTGGAGAGACAGCTCTGTGGTTGAGCACGTTTTTTTTTATTTTTCTGTTCTTGTACAGACAGAAGATGAGTTCTCACAACCCATGCCAGGTGGCTCACACATACACATGCACATACATAATTAAAATTTTTTTTGGTTTTTTGAGACGGGGTTTCTCTGTGTAACAGAGAAACCTGGCTGTCCTGGAACTCACTCTGGAGACCAGGCTGGCCTCAAACTCACAGAGATCCGCCTGCCTCAGCCTTCCGAGTACTGGGATTAAAGGAGTGCGTCACCACTATCGGACAAATTAAGATTTTTTTTAAAGGGGAGTGCTGGAGATATGTCTCAGCACTTAACTTTTTTTTTGCTCTTAGAGAGGACTGGGTTCAGTTCCCAGCACCCACAAGGTGGCTCACAGCTCTAGTTTCAGGAGGATCCTATGATGTCTTCTGACGTCTACGGGCACCAGGCATGCATGTGGCACACAGACATAACTACAGGCAAAATAGTCATGTACATAAAACCAAAGAAATAGATTGACATACTAGTGTAAAATTCCACATCAACAAAAATTTCTAGACAATGACTTCTTGGCTTCAAGAGATCCTGAGCCCATAGACAGAACTGGAGCCCCATGGTCCCCCAGTTTGCAGGTCTTTTATCACCCCCTACCAGAGTCCTCCACACCACCCCTTCCCCCACGATACCTGGGCTGTCTCTCTGGCAACTCCAACCTGAGTTCTTCTGGGGAAACATTCTGAGAGAGAGAGAGAAAGAGAGAGAGAGAGAGAGAGAGAGAGAGAGAGAACAAATAGCTATCATTCAGTTCATTAAATGAGCACTTGAAATCTGCAGAATCATTGTTCTAAGAAGCAAAGCGTGCGTGGATTCATTGAGTTTTCTCAGAACCCGATGGAGAGGTCTTATTATGCCCACTTGACAGCTGCAGAAACTGAGGCCCAGCAATGTCAAGGGACTTGCCCCACATTGCACAAGACAGTAAATGCCAGAGTTCCAATTTGAGTCAGTGTTCCCATGGTAACCACTCTACTCTACTTCCTTTCAGGGGGCCTAAGGAAGACCAGCTAGTCCGGGGCAATACCCTTCCCTGTCAAGTAGCCTGGACCCTAGAAAGGAGGAAAGAAGGAAGGCTGATGTGAACAGGGAGACCACAAAATGGGAGGCTTATCCAGTCACACAGGGTTGCTGGTGGCTTTGGGCTACCTTATCTAGAATGAAAGCCCTAGTTGCTGGCTAGTTTTATGTCAACTTGACACAAGCTACCGTCATCTGAGGGGAGAAAGCACAATTGAGAAACTGCCTCAATTAGATGGGTTACAGAAAGCCTGTAGCACACTTTCTTCAGTGATACACAGACTCAGCCCATTGTGGGTTGGGCCACTCCTGGGCTGAGCAAGCCATGAGGAAGAAACCAGTAGCTTCCTCCATGGCCTCTGCATCAGCTCCTGTCAGTTGCCGTCAGGTTTGAGTTCCTGCCCTGACTTCCCTCAGTGGACTGTGATTCAAGATAAGTAAGCCAAACAACCCTACTTCTCCCCAACTTGTTTTTGGTCATGGTGTTTCATCACAGCACTAGTAACCCTAACTCAAACACCTGACTTTTATTTTTTATTTTTTACCTTTTCAAAGCAAGGGTAAGGCTTGAACTCACTATGTAGATCAGGCTGGCTTCAAACACACAAAGAGACAGAGAGATCTGCCTACCTCTGCCTCTTGAGTTCTGGGTTTAAAAGCCAGAGCACAGTGCCCAACCTTTATGTGACTTTTTCATAGGGTCTCCTATAGCCCAGGCTAGCCTCCAACTAACATTGTAGCCAAGGATGACCTTGACTCCTGGTCCTCCTAGCTCCTCCTCTAGAGTGCTAGCATTACAAGCATGTGTCACTGTACCTTGTTTATGAGGTACCCAGGGAGCAGTCTACCAACATTGTCACCAGACCTCACATTCAATTTCAGGGCCCCACACCCCAGTCCCTCACCTGGATTTCTTCTTCCAGCACCACCATCTGGCGGGCTTTGTCCACTTTCACTGGAGAGGGAAAGAACACAGTTTACAGATCCCTCCCATCCCAGGGGACACTAGCCCAGCCCTCCCTCCCTGCCCCCCCCCATAGGGCAGAGGCCACTGACTTATGATGGCTGCATTGTCGGTCTCTTTTCGAAAGCGGAATTTCCTCAGCTTTTCCTTTAGCTCCGGGTCCACTTCACACACTGCCAGGGAATCCGACTGCCAATGGGACAGGGAGGAGCTGAGCTGGCTTGGCCTCGAACCTGGCTCCTTTCCTGACTCAATTCCCCCCACAAACCAGTGAAGAAGCTGAAGCTAGCCCATGTGAGAGGATTTGGGCAAACATCTCAGTGGGTACCAGTCACTAGGACACACAGCTCAGCTGCCGGGGTATACACAGGGAAGGGTCCACCTTCCTGGTAGGTCCTCGTGATTTATTCCAAAAGACCCAAGGATCTGTTTGTATGGAGCCAAAATAAAACCACCACCTCTCTACCCTAGCTAGATCCTTTGCCACAGCTGGGTCCCTTCCTTCCCTGCCTGTGATATCCATGCTCCCTCCAGCTGACCTTCATCCAGGTACCCTCCCTGCCCCAGGCCACCCTAAACCTCAGCCCCTCTGACCATGGTTTTTGTGTCTTCAGGCCTCCTCTCAGTTCCGTTGTCTTCTAGGGGTGGGGAACCAGGCTGAGAGGGGCGGGCTGTGGCAGGGGGAAGCTTTCATCTAACACCACATCCTGTTTATGCCTGGTCTGGGACAACTGTCACAAAGGGCTCCTCCCCTTCCTTCCTTCCCTGAATCTGCCAGAACCTGGGAGGCTTTGTGGTCACTGAGATGGAGGTTCGAACACTGCCTCACTGTGCTGCCCTAGCTAAGTAAAGCCGCATCTCTTATCTGGGGCCATGGTGAGGATAAAATAGCTTCAGTTATCCCGGGTTGATAGATGTGCCTAATAGTTAATAAGTTCGTCCTTGTGGAATACACCTTTAATTCCTACACTTAGCAGGCATAAGCAGGTGGATCTTTGTGAGATTGAGGCCAGCCTGGTCAGCATAGTGAGTTCCAGGACAACCAGCGTTACGGTAGGAACACAGTCCAGGAATGGAGCTGTATAAGGAAAATTCTGAGGGCTTGTGAGAAAGCTCCAAGAAAATAACACAAGAGTCTTGTGACCTCAGTTTCTTCAAAACAGTTTTGTTTTTGTGTTTTGTTTTGTTTTGTTTTTCCAGACAAGGTTTCTCTGTATAGTCTTGACTATCCTGGAACTTGCTCTGTAGACCGGGTTGGCCTTGAACTCACGGCGATCCACCTGCCTCTGCCTCCCAAGTGTTGGGATTAAAGGCAGTCAACACCATGACTGGCTAAGTCCGCCTCTTTTATCAACTTCATTCTCCCAAGGTGTCATAGCCTCTAGAGCTGTGACAGTCTACATAGAGAGACCCTGTCTCAGAAATAAAAAATGGTGGCATATAATATCCCAGCACTTAAGGAATGCTATAAGTCGAGGCCAGCCTGGTTGACAATAATGAACTCCAGGATAGCCAGAGTGACAGTGATACTGCACACCAAAAGACCAAAATAGGGCCTGTCAGATAGTTCAGTGGGTAAGGGCGCTTGCTACCAAGCCTGAGGAACTGGGCTCAATCCCTGGGACCCACATGGGGAAGGAGAGAACTGATTCCCACAAATTATCCTCTGAACTCCACAAGTGGGATATGGCATTTTTGTGAATATACAAGCATAATCAAAATATAAGCTAATGAAAATTAAAAAAATGAAAGAGTAGTGATGCATGCCTGTAATTCTGGTACTTGGGAGGCAGAAGCAGGAGGATGGAGAATTGCAGGGCATCCTGGGCTACATAGTTCAGTGTTTTTGTCAAAAACAACCAAACAGAGCCAGTCCTCTAATTATAGCATTTGGACAGTAAAGACAGGAGATCAAGAGTTAAGGCTATCCTTGGTTACATATCTCATTTGAGGTCAACATGGACTACAGTGAACTCAGCTTGGACCTACATGAGATCCTGTCTCAAAAAGAGGGAGAGCGAGAGGAGTGGAGGGGGAGGGAAAAAAAAAAAACAAAAAATTTAAAACCAGGGGCTCCAGAGATGGCTCACTAAGACCAGTTAAGAACACTGGCAGCTGGGCAGTCGTGGCTCATACCTTTAATCCCAGCACTGGGGAAGCAGAGGCAGGTGAATCTCTGCGAGTTCAAGACCAGCCTGATCTACAAAGCTACACAGAAAAAAACAAAACAAAAATCAACCAACCAAACAAACAAACAAAAAACCAACCAAACAGAAGAGCATTGACTGCTCTTGGAGAGGACTAGGGTTTGATTCCCAGTACCTACATAGTAGTTCATGATCATTCCATAACTCCAGTTCAGGGGATTCAACACCATTTTTGGACCTCTGAGGGCACCAGGCATACATATAAACTTGCAGGCAAAACACTCATACATACAAAATAAAATAAATCTTAAAGGAAAAAAAACAAACAAAAACTCCAGAAAATCTGATAAAACAAAGAAGTATGAGGGATTGGGTATAGCTCAGTGAAAGCACACGCTACCATGAACATGGCCTGGCTTTTTGTTCTCATGCACACACACACACACACACACACACACACCATACACACACATATATATACCAAACACCACACACATACACACACCCCACACACATATAACACATACCATACACACACACCACACACACACAGATACCACACACCATACATACACACCACACACACACAGATACCACACACCATACACACACACCACACACACACATATATATATACCACACACCATACACACACACCACACACACAGACACCACATACCATACACATACACCACACATCATACACACATATCACACACACTATATACATATACATACCCCCACGCACTATACACATATACACCACATATACACACACACACAAATATCACACACACACCCCACATCACATACACCCCCACACCTCAAACCACACACACAAACTACTCATATTGTTCCCTTTCTCTTCTTGAAATAAAATAAAAAAAAATCATTAATAAACCCAAATGTCCTATAAAGAAGCAATAAAAACAAAGTAATTTATGAGAAAATCATATGTATTTTAGTGAAGAAATACAGGCAAACAAAGAAATTATTCCTCAATCCTTGCTCCACTTGGCTCTCTTTGCTAGCTCTCCTAATAAGGGATAGATGCCATCACTGGTCTCCACCCCACCTGTCTGATTACAGCTATTCTCCAGCCCTTCCTATAATCTGTCCCTGTCCCCTGATGGTCCTTCCCCTGAACCTCCATGAATGTTAGTTCTTCCATTTTGAAAGCAAATATCTTTGTCTCCAGCCATGTGTGGTGGAACGTGTAATCCCAGCACTCAGGAGGCTGAGGCAGGAGTATCGGCCAGCTAGGGGTATATAACAAGACACTCTCCAAAGACCAAAGAGCATTGGCTGCTCTTCCAGGGAACCCAAGTTCCTTTTCCAGAATACACATGATGTCTAAGAATTGTCTATAACTCCAGTTCCAGGGGATCCAATGCCCACTTCTGGCCTCCATGGGCACCAGCAAGCCTGTGGCTCACACAAAAAAACATCCAGGCAAAACACCCATACATATACAATAAAAAATAATCTATAAACAAACATTAAAAGTAATATGGCTGGTGCTGTAGCTCAGTTGATAGAACGCTTGTCTAGTATGTATGCCCTGGGCTCAATCCCCAGCACCATATAAACGTATGAAGAAACACTTTAGCACTCAAGAGGAGCAGGCATGAGGACCTACAGTTCAAAGTCATTCTTAGCTATCTGGAGAGTTAAGAGGCCAATCTGGGCTCCTGTCTTGAAAATAAATAGCCCGGTTTGGTGGTGCATGCCTTTAATCCAGGTACCCAGGAGCCAAAAGCAGATGGATCTCTTTGAATTTGAGACTGGCCTGGTTTATATAGCCAAGTTTCAGGACACCCAGGGCTACACATTGAGACCCTGTCTCAAAACAAACAGGGTCATGGAGTTTTCTCAGCAGATTAAGGTGTTTGGTGCCAAGCCTGACCACCTAAGTTTGAACCCACATGGTAAGACAGAACTGATTCTTATTAGTTGTTGTCTAGCCATGGCAACCACATCTGCTGATTTCCTTCCAAACTTCCCCAAACAACTGTCTATACTTGCTATTTCCCAATTGTCTCTTAAACTCCATGCCCCAGTGCTGTTTGCTGGCGTGTTATTTATTTTTTATTTATTTATCAAGATAGGGTTTCTGTGTAGATCAGGCTGGTCTCATACTCAGAGATTTGCCTGTCTCTGTCTCCCAAGTGTTGGGATTTAAGGTGTGTGCTACCACAACCCGGCTGCCAATGTTTAAAAAAATGACTTAATATATGGGTTTCTCTGTGTAGCCCTGGCTGTCCTGGAATTCTCTGTTGACCAGGCTGGCCTCAGACTCATTGAACCACCTGCCTCGGCTTCCTGAGTGCTGGGACTAAAAGCATGAACCACAACACTTGGCTCTTCAAATATTTTAATCAGTGTTATGTGTGTGAGCGTTTTGCCTGCATATGTCTGTGCACCACTTGTGTGTCTGGGGCCTGCAGAAGTCAAAAGATGACAACAGGTCCCCTGGGACTGAAATTACAGTTGCTAGTCTCCATGTGGGTCCTGGGAATTGAAGCCAAGTCCTCTGGTAAAGCAGTCAATGCTCTTAACTACCAAGCCATCTCTCCAGTCCCAGAAAAATAGCTGTCTTAAAACAAAGCAAAGTTCCAGGTAAAGGGGAGGGGATTTAGCTCACATTTTCAAGGAGAATAGCAACTAGTGTAAAAAAAAAAAAAAAAAAAAAAAAAAAAAAAAAAAAAAAGGTCTAGGCCAATCAGGACTAGAATGAGATATTAATTCAAAAAAATCCAAACCACAAATAGATGGGGCTTGTGATGTCCCCTGGCATGAAACGGCCTTTCCTCGCTCTCTTCAGGGTTCTCCGTCTGTCTGTCTTTGAGACGGGGTCTCATTATATAGACCAGGCTGGCTTCGGATTTAGGGGAGCCCCTGCCTCTGCCCTTGCTGGGATTAAAGGCGTGTGCCACTACGCCTTTGCTCTACTTTACTTTACTTTACTCTGCTCTTCATGCTGCCCCTTCAGTCTCTGTTCAGTGTTCCTTTGCTCTTCTCAAACTGAGTGTCCTCATTCCTCAGAGTTCCGTCTGATCCTTGTCTCCCCATTCACCCGCCCCCTCGGACCCTCCCTGGGATCCGTCACCCACTCCCACGGCTTCAATTACCATCTCTTAAATCCCGGTTCTCCAGCCTCAGTTTTGTGCCCGCAGGTGGGACAAACGTTCTCGACTTGGCTGCTGGGCGTCCCCCACTAGGCTTCTTCTCGGAGACCCAAGCTCCCAGAGAGGGCTTGGTCGTGGACTTTTCTCTTCCGCCCTGTGGCCAGCCAGTGGCAAAAGGCTAGTTCAGAGGGCCACCTGGGGCGTCCCTCCCATCTCCTCCCCGCCCCAGGATCCCTCCCGGGAGCAAGCCCGCCCCAACTCCCCAGCTAGAGCCAGCTGGCTCCCTGGGTCCCCTCGGCGTCCCCCTGGGCTCCACGGTCCCAACTAAGTCAGAGGCGTCGTTTCCAAACTCCCCGGGACCTCCGGGGGTCGGGGGGTGGGGGAGGTCTCGGATCCCTTCCACGTCTCCCGGGAGTGCAAACGTCAGGTGGCCGAGACCAGCCCCTGTCGTAAAGGAGGCGCTCCAGCCCGACTGCGTCTCTCTGAGTTCTCCGATCAAGCCTCGCTGCTGCCATCATCCATCCTTCGGGAGAGTGGACCAGGGCGGGCCCTTCCTTTCC